ACACTATCTCTGTTTAGCTTCTTTGTTTGCGTTTAGATAAAAAACCGATAACCATTGGTCATAAAATAGAGATAAGAAAGGAAAAGAAAGACGGTATACACACACCCAAATGGGATAAAGGAAGACCGGGCCAAAGTGATATATCAATAAAAATTATCAATATTCTGTGCACCTTCCGTTCCCCTAGAAACAGAAAATGCGAGATGGCACAGGATCAGCACGATCAATTTTGTGTCTTCAAAAAAATCAAGTCATCCTCTATCATTTCTAAATCATATATGAAACATGTCCCTTGACTACACAATCAATTAATAGCTATATTTTGACAAGAAATATTGTAATACACGATTCAAATACCATATTCAAAAGCTATGCGGTAACAGCTAATAGAACAATTCAAACAATACTTTATCTAAAACACTGTACATCAGGATCGTGTTAAGATACAAGCACAAAATATGATATAGAAACTTGAAGGAAAAATTTGAAGACAGCCAAGACAAAAAAAGAAAGAGAAATAGGTTGTCAGAATACTTATGTGCATTTCTCTTCTGGTTTAGATGTAGATATTTAAAGTCTTGACCTTGAATTTTTCTTCGCTTCAAATTCTAATAAGCATCAATCCACTTGCTTATTTGATGTTTTAATTATAACGAGAAAAAAGATAAGAAATGTATTTACGTTGAAGAAAATGCTACTTGTAAGTTTGAGTTATCGACACTTCTATAAATTCTTCAAAGTCAAAAGTAAAAGGGAACATCAACAACCACCTAATAATATGTGGTGCACAGTCAAGCATCCTCAAGGGTCAATTGATTTCTACTTATGATACAGTAAACCACATAAAGAAGACTCCTAAGTATGAAAACCCGCCAAAGAACCATGGAATCTTGCAAATTAACTGAGCCGAAGAAAGCCCAAAGAATCTTTGTTTTAAGTGTCTTACCAAGTTTGAAGAGTAGGGTTCTTGGTGCAAACACAAACAGTGGACAGCATCTGGTTATTAGGAAATTCGAGCTTTTAAAAGAGCCAAATTAGATACTGCTCTTGAGATTCAGAGAAACTTGAAGTTGTTGACAACGGAGAGGAAAATAAAAAGAGAAAAAGGGCTTCTGGAGTTCAAGCAATTGTTGTGAGAAATTAAAGATAATTTAAGAGGATTTTGGGAGGCAGATACATCAGGATTCAAACTAACAATTCCATCTCAATAACACAAGAGAAAACAAAATGATAAGAACTCTGACCAAATGTACTGTAGTCTTGATCAAGAAAATAAATGATAGGAATCGAAACAAAACAGCAACCACATGAAAGAGAATAAATAGCAACGTTAACACTCAGTGGTGAGTGTGCTGGAGGGCTTGCCTAGAGCACCCAGGTCCATCACTGCTGCACCCAAACAAAGTGCGCTTCTGCATGACGTGTGTATATCCCAGCAAATTTATCCGCCTGGGCTCCCTCCCACACACTTTTACCTGAAAAATTGTTTTTCCTGGAAGTTCAACCAGAGGCAATAAAATTCCATACAAGGATTGCTGGCTATGGATGTTTCATATTAATCACCAATGCACCATCTTGAACTATTGGAATGGGCAGAGTAAAATCTGCTGGAAACAAAATTGTCATTAGGAGATAAAACTCTCCTGGCCCCCTCCACCTCTACAACAAGTAAACAAAAAAAAGAAAGAAAACTAACGCAAATTTGAAAAATTTTGAAAATGCTAAAAAATTGAATTGAATACGACAGCAAGAGATGGATCAGAATTAATGAAGGAAGTCTGTTTTTATTTGATTAACAAAACAAAAAAAATCCCCTCAGTAATAACTAAACATTAATTAGATCAGTAACTGAATTCCAAGCAGTTACTAATGATGCTCGCTCGTTTTCTCTGTTCTACTATAGTTGAAGAAATGTGCCTAACATAAACCTATACGGTTATTATTTAATGTACCACAACAGCTAAATAAAAAAACATATTTAAGAACCTTTCATTTGCATCTTTGACAAAACTCATTGAACAAAGTCCTGCAAATTCAACAAATGGATTAACTAAGTTCTCAACATTTCCACTGAAGAGATTACCTTCTACAGATGCTGCATATCAACTTGAGTAAAACCACAGAGCCTACCACATTAGATCAGCCATTATGCCAACTTCAACAGAAGAAGTGACAAGACTGCCAGTGCATGAGCAACTAAAGCACAATCTTGAGCCATCAGAAAATCACAGAAGAGATTTTGCTTGAAAAATAATCGATTTGGCCAACTGACTCCCTTTTTACCACTATATACAAAAATTGAGAGACTATTTGGACGATCAAATCATAGACCACTATATAAAATATCTAAAGCACACTTTTCATACATTTGATGTCCTAAGATTCTGTTATTTTATAACAAGCATTTGCATCGTATAGAATATAATAAAAAACACATTGGCAAACTCATTGTCTGGAAATCCATAAATTCTAATCAAACCAAAATTTTTCTGGAAATATTTTTCACTTGGTCAACTAATCGTACATATCGCATAGATGAATATCCCCGAGTTAACTGAAATCCCCACTTCCAAAGCACGGGAAACAGTATCCTAAGCACAGAATCCAACCAAACAAAGAGCCTAGGCTGCATTATAAATAGCCAAGACAGCTGTGATCCGATAATACCAGAGTGCTTTAAAAATGCAATGTTGTGCAATAAAACCAATTCAGGGTAAGCACAAACAAGACAACTGCATCTCTTCAAAACCTGAATCAAGTCCTTATTGTTTTTATTACCAAGTAAAAACGATCAAGTCCTGCATCTCAAAGACAACTGCATCTCTTCAAAACCTGAATCAAGTCCTTATTGTTTTTATTACCAAGTAAAAATGAATCAAGTCCTGCATCTCAAAGACAACTGCATCTCTTTCAAATGAATTGAGGAAAAGAAAAAAAAGTCCTTATTGTTTTTATTAACAGGTAAAAATTTCACAAGAATCTCAATGTTTTGTCAGTCTTCTGTTTAAACTAAAAGTAAAGATGCAGGAATACGTGCAAATAAATTGAGCCAGAAAAAAACCGACAAATTGACACCTTTAAGAATTAGGATTCTGGGTGCGACATGGGAAGTGGAATATCAGAATATCGGAGCTTTTCAAAGAACCAAATCAGAGGATCAATATTTTCAGGGGTTTTTTGAGAGAAAAATGATCAAGAATAATGCTGTGGAGATGTGCAGAAAATTCTTCTCGCTTTTATCATCATGTAAAATTTTCTTGAGAACCTTGATTCAAACAGCCAAACTTCATTTTAAATTAAAATTGAAGTCACATAACTCTTGAAAATAAATTGAGCCAGAACAGAACCCACAAGACCAATTCCTTGAGAAGACCGGATCTTTCATATATGCGTCTCATAAATGATGAAAAGCAAGATTCTTGTTGCAAAATGCAAAGTGGATTCTATCCATCAGTATATCTGAGTTTTTGAAAGAAACAAATCAGCGACTTGAGTATTTTCAAGGGGTTGTACGAGACTAAACAGAATCAAAAGCATCATTCTTGAGATGTGCAGAGAAATTGAAGAGTTCCCCTATCGAATTTACGAGTATTTCTGCATCTTCAGTTTTAGTTTAAACAGAAACCTGGCTCCTGCTAGTAAATTGCATCTTTTCAAGACCTGAATTAAGCCCATCTCACTTTTATCATTAAATAGACCTTTATAAAAAATCTACATTCAAAGAGCCAGTCTTCATTTTAAACTAAAACTTGAGATGCAGGACCTCTTCAAATAAATTGAGGCACCAAAAACCCACAAGCCCTTACGGCTTTTTATCAAGAAAAACTTACTTGAAAATCCCAATGTAAGGAGCTAGAATAGAACCCTTGAGTTTCCAAAAAATTCTTACATCATGAGTTTTAGTTTAAATAGAAAAATTAATCCTATTGGTCAATTGCATCTCTTCAAAACCTAAATCAAGTCCTTCATGCTTTTGTCATCACGTACGACTTTCTCGAAAATCTTGATTCGAGGAGTCAGCCTTCTGTTTAAACTAAAACCCACGGCATAGAATAAAATTCTTAGACCAAAAAAGAAACTCCATGTTCTTATAGCTTTTCGCATCAAATAAAACATTCTTGAGAAGACTGTTACTATTTTATTTTCTTAATTAACCAATAAAACTGAAAATTAATATAAAATATTTTTTAAAAGAATTTTTGAATTCTTAAAAATTTTAAACATAAAGTTTCAAGATGTGCTTACCCTTACTAGACGATCTTTAATTAAAATCTCAGCAAGTGTGAAGAGAAAAAAACATAATTTAATATATGAGCCAAACACCTCGATTACCACAGCCGTTGCAATGAGGTTACCTGAATTACTAGTTGAATGGTCCCGAATAATTATCATGGCAGCTGAAACAAAGCTTAAGAAAAAAGAAAGCAGAAGAAAATTTAGGACATCTTTATTGAAAATATGCATCAATCTGACCAAAGAAATTTTTTAAACATGTAATTTACTTTAACATACATTTCAGACATAAATACCTAATAAGCAATAGATCAACGCAGAATAAAGTTTAGATAGCATAAATTCTGCTATATGGTGTTGATCAATTTCAATCTAGCACCCGAGAAAAAGGTTGGTTTAGTCCCTTCTGGTAAAACAGGTCCTTAGAATAAAAAGTCAAGGACACATCACAGGTTTACCAACATGGCTTCGACTTCCGTAATTGCAAGTATCTTAGGAACCTGAAACTACAGATTAATTTTTTGGTAAGAGATAATGCAAGGAGAGGGACTCAAATTAAGGTTTATGCCCAACCTGACTAGCCTGCTAGTGCTTTCATTATTAGTTCATTATGGGCGAGGCTTCCAACCTTCTACAGAATTTATTGTAAGTTGTTCAGTAAAGATGCAACTTCACTGAAGAATATATGGCTATTTGAGGCATTTTATAGTGAAATATTACTCTCTGTTACCATCCATGCCATTCAAGCTGCTTACATTTTGTAGCGCTTAAAGCTTCCTCTGCAGTGCCTCACGCTCAGCCTGAATACGAAATGGAACACCATGCTTCTGAAGCACATTCTTTTGTGCCAGGTCTTCATCAATGTCAGCTGCAGTGGTTGCAAAAGGATGATTGGCTGGAATCCATCTGATCGTATCGGGGTCTACATCAGGAGGTATGGAATCCTCATCCTTAAGGAACACAGTTGGTCTCTTCCACTGGTATGCTCTAGATCTCCTTTTCTGATGGAAAGCTTGCTGCTCTTGAGTCTGAGTAACTGGAGCTAAGCGATACACTTTTCCACACATCTCTACAGTTGAATTGCTCTTACCGACCTTCACCAATGGATTATTAAATGGGAACTCATATTTGAGAGGTTTTGAGCTGTGAAAAAAGGCACCATTTGAAAGGATAAATCAGAATTTATATGACAGGTCATAGGATCAAATTATGACAAAATGGCTGGCATGTAGAAAACCTGAAACGTGATTGTAACATCACTACATGTGAACAAAATTATCAAAATTATAAAATCTAAAATTGGGCAGAGTAATATAACCTACCACCTCAGATACGATGATTACATAATGACAAGAAAAATATTAACAAATCAGACTTGGCATGCAGAACACCTGAAACCTGATTCAAACACCAGCGCATGTGAACAAAATTATCAAATGGTAAAGTTAAAATCGGATAGAATAATATAATTTCTACCAATGCAAACATGATGATTACATAAGAAGGATGAAAAATTTTAATAAATTAGATTAGATCCAAGAAACATATAAACTACAACTTACAGAAAAAAAAAAAAAGGGCATGTGAAAGGTGTTAAGGACTGGAATCATAGATGCAACTTCTATCAGACCTCAACTGGCCACGTCTGACAAGATCAGCTACGAAGCCAGGACGGCTTTTCCTCGACTTTGTCACCATGCAGGCTCTAACAGCAACAAGCAAAAAGAGCAATAGCTATGCATAATCCAGTTGCAATGTTGTTTCCTACACGTTGTTTAATCTAAAAGCTTATATGCAAAAATTATTATTTTTGGGTTTAAAAAAAAAAATACAAAAATATAATTTATCCAATTTTTAACGTGGGATAATATTATTAGTTATTCATAATATAATTATCATATGTAGTAAAAAAAAATGTATAAAATCATACACCGTTTCTTATTTCACCTTCAAAAAATTTAGATAAAACTACATTAAATTCGTAAATTTTATATTACAATTTTCATATAGAGAAATAAGTGGTGGGCTGAAATTGAATCATATTCCAGTTAATAACAATGGACTCAGGCATAGGCTGCCAAATGAGAATTTTGTTTTTTTTTTTTTTGGAGGTTTATTATATATGAGTTTAATAGTTTATATTTTAGACTTTTCCTCAAAAAAAAAAAAAAAATTAATTTTAGACATGTGTAATGAAAATGAATTTTGTATAAACTTAAAAAGGAGACAATAGAATGAGTTATATAAATGGGTTGGAGAAAATGGTTTAGTAAACTAACATTTTCATAAATATTTGGAAAAATGAAATTGATTTGAGAATTAATCAAGATTTTAAATTTAAATGTTTCATATTAATGTACTAACGCCTATACATATATATATTACTATTATTATTATATTTTTCTTTCTTAATAATTTTCATTCTTGTAATTTATTTAAAACTGTGCAAAAATGAATATTATCAAAACTAAAGTAGAAATGCATAAGAAATTTTAACATTAATATGATACTTTCGATCATAACTTTAAAAAATCAGTTATTATCTAACTATATAGTATTTATCTATTTCTAATGTTCACGTTTGTTGAGATTACTTGAAATACCACTTTCTCTAAGTATCTATTAAAATTATTACAATAAATATAATAAATAAGATAATAAATACGATACACAATTAAAACAAACTAACATCATATATTTGTATTGCAACTATTCATTTGCAGCCTAATAACACTTATTAAGACCCAAGAAAACTTAAAGAGAAAGATGAAAAGGAAAAGCAGTTTCATATAAAATACACACGTACCATGAATTAGACCTTAATCAAACTCCTTTGATCATCTTGGTATTTGCCACAATTGGAATGTTAAATTCATCATTTATGTCTACTAAGAAATGAGCATACCTGCAAAATTAAAATTATAATTTTTAACAGTCTTAACTAGATACTGAACATCAACTTTAAGTTAAAACAATTTAAAAAAAAAAAAGACATTTCATCATAACTTCTTCTCTACCTTTTGCAGGAGACTCTTGCAAAAACTATATCATAAAACGATAAATCTTTTAAGAAAATCTTTATTCTCAATTAAAAAGAGAGAATTACATAATGACACATCACAAAGAAAATGAGAAAAGTATGAAACTCCTTCAAGCAATCCTTTTGAAGAAATCTTACCTCCAATAACCTATGAACCAATTTTACACTTTCATAATCATCTTTAATTTTATAGAATTTGCGAGAAGTACTTTTTTGTAACATTGAAAACTACAAGTTTGTACAGACAATACAAAAGGAAGATAAAGATCGACTTGGTTAAGATGGTTACGCACGAGTGCTCACATACATGTGAGCTTAAAAAAGTTACCAACAAGATGAGTTCAAGTTAGGTAGAGTTATCATTGAGAAGTTTCTTGACTGATTTTGATGGAGAGCATCTTGATTCTCTTATCAAAATTGGCTTAAGAGCAACTATTAAAACATTTATACCGATTGCTTTCAGTAATAAATTTGTCAAATAAACTTGTAATATTAGTTAATAAACTTGCATTAAAAATTCAAAATAACATAGTGATGAAGAAGAAGACATAAACAGATAATGTCAAAAGATTTTGTTCTTCTCAGTCTCGCCTTTTATTGAAAATTACTTGTTAAAATAACTGATAAGAAAAGATCAACAAAAGAGGTGAGGAAAAGATAAATCTTAGAGGAAAGAAGGAGAAGGAGGAGGAGATAAGTTAGGAAACTTGAAATTTTCAGCAAAATTACCATCAACATGTATCAGTCAAAAAAGTCGAGAAAGAGAAAGAATGGGAGGGGAGCAAAGAGATTTGATAAAGTTAATTACGAAAACAAAAATATGATAACCATCAAAAGTAAAAAGATAAAATAATTATTTTATATACATAAAATAAGATAATTAACTAATAAAAACTAATATTTTCTTATTTAATAACATTTAGTTTTAAAATTTTTATAGTATTTATTTTTAATAATTATTTTATTTTAATTTATTTTCACTCAATATTATAATATTTTTATAATAACATATATCATATAATATCAAGATTCAAACTAACAATTTCACCTCTATAATACAAAAGAAAACAAAATGATGAAAACTCCAGCAAGGGAAAAGAAAAAAAAGATTGAAGTACTGTGGGGTCTTGATCAAGAAAATATATGACATGCATCGAAACAAAACAGCAATCACACGAAAGAGAATAGATAGCAGCAGTGTTAAAAGCAAAACGGCCTTCTGCTTCGGTTGACAAAATTCATGTACCTGGGATTGGACAACTTTCTCGATTTAAAGTTTTTGGATTCATGAGTCCATCGCTTTTGAGTATCATATGTAGAAACGGGTTTAGAAATGAGCTCGGTCGGATTTTGTAGACCCCCTCTTTTAAAGTCCCCTTTAGCATAAAAAGGAAACTGTAAATAGCATAAAAAGAAAGTTTGTCTCATATAATATATATAATATAAACTATTTATATTACTAATATTATTTTATTTTATTAATTAACCTGAAAATTAGTACATAATATCTTTTAAAATAATTTTTTAATTCTTAAAAATTGTAAATATAAAAATAATATTAACGTATTAATATTTTATTAAAAATAAATATCATATTTTAATTCTTATAAAAATTATCTATTTAAACATTTTAAATTTAAAAATAAAATTTAATTTTTAGTTACTTACAAATTTTAGAAAAAAGTTTTAAATATTACAATACTTATTAAATATCGATATTTTGTAATAAATATATCTTTAGTTAATGTAATACATACTTTCAAATTACTATACAATCAACAAACACTCCTAAAAATAAATAGTAATAAATTATAAAGATATGCATTAGTAAATCACATAAATATAGAGTAATACATCCTAAAAATATGCAGATATTTTCATATGAGCAAACATCTAGAACCCAAAAAAAGAAGAAGAAAGGTTTAGTTACTTCCTAAAACAGAGGCTTAGAATCATAAGTCAAGGACACATTAGAGGTTTACCAGCATGGTTTCTACTTCCATAATTGCAAGTATCTTAGGAACCTGAAACTACAGGTTTAATCTTTTGATAAGAGAATGCAAGGAGAGGGACTCAAATTTAAGTTTATGCCCAAGCTAACTAGGCTGCTAGTGCTTTCATTATTAGTTCGTTATAGGTAAGGCTTCCAACCTTCTACGGGATTTATTGTGATTGTTCAGTAAGGATGCAACTTCACTGAAGAAGAATATATGGTTATTTAGGGCATTTTATAGTGAAATATTACCCTCTGTTACCATCCATGCCATTCAAGCTGCTCACATTTTGTGCTGCTTCAAGCTTCCTCTGTGAGTGCCTCACGCTCAGCCTGAATATGAAATGGAACACCATGCTTCTGACACACATTGTTTTGTGCCAGGTCTTCAACAATCAGAATTCATATGACAGATCATAGGACCAAATTATGATAAAATGGCTGGCATGCAGACATCCTGAAACGTGATTGTAACATCAGCACATGTGAACAAAATTATCAAAATAATAAAAACTATATTAGGCAGAGTAATAAAACTTCCACCAATGCGGATACAATAATTACATAATGAGATGGAAAATATTAACAAATAAAACTTGGCATGCAGAACACCTGAAACCTGATTCCAACATCAGCGCATGTGAACAAAATTATCAAATGATAAAAGCTAGGTTGAGTAATATAAAGGGCATATACTTAAATTAAAATTTCACCAAAGTGTGAAGAGCCAAAAACATAATTTGAAAAATTAGAAATTATAATTAATTATTATTTAGGAGCATTATTTTAATTTTAATAACTTAAATTTTTATTCTTATTAGTATTCATAATATTATTAGTGTTAATATCTTATTCTTATTAAGATTAGTATTTCTAATTTTACTAATTTATTATTTTCTAGTCTAATTCTAATTAAGAAAAGATACTTATAGAAAATAAATTTTTACTTTTATTTACTAATTATTCAATTATTTAATAATATCTTAAGAGTTTCTCAGTTTCCTAATCGTACAATACAATCGAACCCTCAAGTGTGATGCTTAAAATTTCTTAGATGTGATGTTTAAAAAACTCTAGGTGCGCTATCTCATTTTATCTCTAAATCCCTGATTAGACAAATAAACATTGAGGTTGAGGCTTGGAGGAGGAAAATTACTTTATTGATGTCATCTAAGACATAATGACTTGAAACAGAGACGGGGCACCTGCAGGGGGGGCACAATGCATTATGTATGCGCTCACTGGTGAGTGTGCCGGCGGGCTTGCGTAGAGTACCCAGGTCCATCACCGCTGGCACCCAAATAAAGTGCTCATTTTCCGCATGACGTGTGTATATCCCAGCAAATTTATCCAACTGGGCTCCCTCCTTCCACACACAGGTACCTGAAAAATTGTTTCCTGGCAGTTTAATTGCCCTGTTCTTTGTTCGGTCTTTTTTTTTTTTTATTTTCCTCAATTTTTCCGATGGTTTAATTCTCAGTAGCTCCGAGTGAAAAAACCAATGGAATGAAGAAAAATCTTACCAAATATCAGATCAGATGAAACGGGAAAACTATCACCAGTTCACTGTCAATGAAAACTAGGATAACAATACAATCCAATAAAATTGAGTCTGTACACATCCTAAAACAATGAAAAAATTTCAAAATTCTCACATATGTTTCA